GAACCGAACTCTTTGAAGAAGAGTCAAGCAAGGGCCATGACTTCAAAGAGTTAAAATTTTTCTAAGTGTGCAAAGGTTCCTATCCTAAAACCAACCTTATTAAAGATTAGCCGAACAAAATGCAAAATAATATTTTCATTTAAACTATAATTACAGGAACATGAATGATAAAAAGAGATCTTTATTTGAACTTCAAAAAGGTACACAGATCAAATACATCAAAAAAATTTTAAAAAAGATGTCCCAAGGATTCTAAGAAGCTGGAGGTTGAGAAGAACTAGGACGAGAATGCTTGAAAAACAGTTCAGAAGAAGAAAGGACCCCTGCAGCAATCAAAGCAGTGTGTCATCCTTTGCTGAAGAAAACATCTCGGAGTTAAGGGATTTGTAAGGCGAGATCACTTTCTGCCTTCTCAACCCCTTCATCATATGTAGCATCTTCTCTTTCCTTGGTTTCAAACTTATACTGTTCAAATTCTTCAAGGAAGGTGGAATAGTCGAGTTGAGATTGAGAAAGTTCAACGTTGGCTTTATGCTCGGACTCCTTCAATTTTTCGGTCTCTGAAGAAAGTTTCTAGTTCTCCTCAGTCAGGCTTTGATTTTGAGCCTGCAGAACCTTGATTTCTTCATAAAGTTTGGCATATTCCTCATCCACACTTTCTTTTCTTAGCTAGCGCTGAAGTTCGAGCATGGATAGCATCCTTCATGGCCTTGTCCTTTCTCGCTATCCTAACCTCGACCTCATGAACTTTTTGTAGGCCCTTGATTGAAAAAGAGGAGAATTGACTTAAAAAAAGTTTGAAGAAAAATTGTGAAGAAAGAAAGTTCGAAAGAGCAAAATCTTACCAAGACCATGTGTTGAATGGCTTGACGAGATACTTCGTCATCAGTGAGTGCTTTGTTCATTGCCAATTCCCGTGGCAAGATGACTCTCCTGGCAATCCCCACTACTATGTTGAAATCTTTAATGGCGGAGTCCTTTGCAGTAATCTCTCTCTTTTGTGCCCCTAAGGATAGGACGAAAAGGAAGAGTGACTGGTTTGGGAAAAAGGCTCTCCTCGGACTCGGCAACTCTACGCCTTTTAGGGGCAGGGTCTTCGACAAGCTCAAAGATTGAGTCGTCTTCTTGAAAAAGGGAGAGAACAGGTTCTAGAGGATCTATCTCAACAAGAACAGAAGTTTCAGCAACTAGAGCCAAATCAACTTGGTCACCTAAAGGCAGACCTGCATCGTTGGCTTCGGAAAGAATCACCTCGGGAAGGACTTCGGCAGTTGGCTCGTCAAGAACAGAAATTAGAATCGCTGAAGCAGTTGGAGTCGGTTCGGTGGAAGGAATCAGTTCGACAGTCGATAAAAAATCAAGAAAGTTTTTTACCGTCCTACGCCCAGAAGCCACAAGAGAAGACTTCTTCTTAGCTCGAGGAGTCTGTTCCCGAGCAGACTGGATTGCCTCCCAATCTGCGACCAGAGTGGCATTGGGTCAATTCGGCACAGCAATGAAGGAAAAATAGAAGGGAATGTAGCCAAGCAATGTATAAGCAGCTCGGCATAATAATGACTCATTGAAATTTCAAACTCTCTTGAGCTCGTCCATCTTTATAGAGGACTCATGAACTCTGCCCTTGACAGTCTTTCCTGTATCCAGAAATCTTGAGCCAGAAGATAGTAAAAAAAAATTGGAAGAGGAAAAGATTCAGATACTTGGAATGCCTTCTTCATAGGGACAACGATATGATGAAGTGGCACTAGCAGGGTACTCCCATTTCCCAGAAACAAATACATTGTCATTTTTATGACCTTTGTTCGAATATGGCAAATGGGTGACCAGATAACGGTGCTACTTTCTCACAGCCAAATAGAAGTTATCTCCAACAACCTTGATGATGTAACAGTAGAGAATCTCCCACAAGCCAAGGCTTAAGCCTAGAAGCTTATTCAAAGCTGAAACCCCCATCACAATCCTGAAGAAGTTTGGACAACATTGGAGGGGGGCAGAGCTTTGCAACAGAAACAACCTAGATGAGAAGAGGGTCGAGAGGGAATCGCACTCCGCCCTCAGTAATTACACGAGTTGGAATAGGAATCCTCTCCCTTGAGCCAATCAACGGTTCATCTTTTCCAACGACCTTAACATCCACGTCATCTGGGATATTATACTTTGCTTTGAAAGTTGGAATCTCAATAGGAGTGAGGGGATCCATAGAAGAAGACGAAGTACAGAGATAGATACAAGAGATGGGTCTGGGAGCAAGAAAGCAAGGAAGAGGAAGATACGAAAAAAAGCTATTTATAAATGAGAGGAATTCCAAAGGGAAATATTTAAATGCCAAGACGTGCCGCCAAAATTAGGGGGATGGCACAAGTACGCGCAATGATAATGAAAAGGCAAAAAACAGTTGACAGATGAAAGGCGTCTGTCAGACGTTTTTCTGGGGACAAATGAAGGGGTTGATCCCCATTATTACACGTATTATGACATTAAATGAAGTCCACGTGAGGTTGACAAGACAGGTCACGTGACGAAGAAATCATTCACTCAGCCTCATAAACCAAGCCGTACTAATCAAAGAGTTCGGCAAAGAAAGAAAGAGTTTGATTTTCATTATGATCGAGTTGATTAAAGCGTTAGGTTCCTGTCAAGAGATCGTCTCTTACAAAACCGAGCTCATTGATGTGCTCGGTTTACAAAGAAGGAGTTCGGTACTTAAAATGATCGAGTTGTTTGCAATAGTGTGTGGAAAGATAAAGACTCGCCTATAACTGATACATTTCGGATGAATGAATCAACAAAACAGCTGATATCATGAGGAATTGTTGGAGAAATATCAGCAACTTCCCAAACTAAATCGCTGAATTGAAGGAAAGTGTGCCACCTTAAATCAAAAACCACATAAACCCTAATGGAATAACCATCTATAAAAAACAAAAGAAACCAAGGTAAAAAGTACGCTGAACTCTCCTTATCTTCCAGCAAACGTTTTTATTCCAATACTGACTTAAGTATTAGAGTGTCTTCGATCGAAGCACTTTGATCTTGGATAATTTGTTTGTTTTACAGAATAGGAAGATTGAGGGATCGAGTTCAGAGATATTCCTTACCAGAAAGATCACATCAAATTCCCCGTAAGAAGCATCATTAATTTTTTATCTTTTACAGACTTAGTAACCTCTGTCATTTTAATAACTACTATTGACAAACTTAGCTAATAACTACCATTTGAAATAGTGAATTTCATCAATTTTATTTATTGTCTTTTAATTGATTGGTAATATCACGTGATATTTATATTTAAAAAAATTCATTATATTATTTGAAAGAAAAAAAAATTATAAGAAATTTTATATAATTGTCTAAATTACCCTTAATTATATTAAATCGATCTAAAAAAGAAAAAAATATGTAATTATAATTAAAAGTTAAAAAATATAAAAAAAATTGCTCAAAATTTAATTTTAAGACAATCACCAATACAAAGATCTTTGGGTCAAATTATATAATTAATCAAATTCATACCAAAAAAATTTTAAATTAATAATCAATAAAATATTTTTAAAAAAATAAGGATAAAATAAAAAGTTAGTTATAAATCACAATTTTTTTGCATTTTCCTGTATTTTTTACAAGAAAAAAAAATAGGTTATTTGTGAGAAAATTCAAGTATGAAGAAAAATTATTTTTTCCATCATTTTTTTTTCATGCTAACCAAACACAAGAAAATTTTAAAAAATTTCTCTTTCTTGTATTTTCTATCATTCTCCCGTTAAACAAACAAACCCCAAAGAAAAAAAATAAGAATAATACAATTTCTTTCATTTATGTTTAGTAAAATGGATGAAAAATAAAAATAATCAATTTTTTTATTGTGCGTGGTGAGATGAAAAAAATATGTTTTTAAATTTTTAAATTTTTTTTAAAAAAATATAAATATATATTCTATCATTATATTTATATATGAAATTAATATATACATAATATATGCATATATCTAAAGATATAAAGACAAATAAGATATACTTCAACACAAATAATTAACTTTTCATTCACTTTCTTTCCAATTTTGAAAAGATTAATTTTGATAAGTTAAAAAAAAGTTTATCAATCTATTTTTCTATTCTTCTTATTTTTCTTTCTTATTAATTATGATATTTTATATGTCCCTCAAACTTTTCATCCTTTATTTTTCTATCGTACCAAAGTCAAACCTATTCTCTAACAAACAAGAGATCTCAGATGCGATATTTCTCACACTTTTTAAAAGTCAATCACTCTTATTCCTCAGAAAACATGTCCTTAAACTAATCTGAATTACGACAACCAACTTAAAGCTCAAGGTGGTAATCAACGTAAACCTGCACAACCTATAAAAAAAAAAAAAAAACCTTCCCCGAATGGATTTCCAGTTTTTATTACATGAAATTTCACCAATCAGATTACCATACTCAGGAGAGAGAGAGAGAGAGAGAGAGAGAGAGAGAGAGAGAGAGAGAGCAATGCATATAGCTCAATCACTGCCTTTGAGCACCATTAGGTCACTCTTGAAAAACAAATGACCTTTTGTTGCCAATACATTCTCAGAACTCCAAAGAAAGCTACTTAATCATTCGACACAAAAATCTTTCGGCAATAGTAAGATTTAGGGATCATCCAAACACCAAATGTAGCAGATTCACCCCTAATCTTGGAGAATCGAATGACTTAGTAGTTGAGAGCAATGAAGTCAAGCAGCATGCAACTAGGGAGAAAACAACATATAAAATTATCCCGTTGCAGCACACAACTGAGCCAGTCAATAAAAATTGTATGCCCCAACCGGTTGCTGAAGAGGTCAAGTGAGATTATGAACTAAAAACAATCGAAGGAAAGCAAAAAATGGAAGGGAATCCACCCCCATGCACATGTGCAAGTTCAAATCTCACCATGAACGTGCCAGGAAGAAGGAAAATAGATATATTTTTTCGTCAAACACAGACAAAGTTCTAATGCTGTTTGATGAGCAAACATGGCAAAAATGATATCCTATTATCGTCATTATCATCTGGCAACGGACAATTAAATGGGACTGAAGACAATGCAGAATTTGCCCTATTCATGACAAGCTTCATATACTGTGTAAACAGGAGGACATCTCCCCTAACATGCTCAAATCCACTGAAAACATTTTAAAGGTGAAAACGGGAATTCTTCAATTACTTTGAGCAGTGTTCTTGTACCATTAAGAACTTTCCAACGTTTAACTCTTACCAATAAAATTAATAAGCAGCCTGAATAGCTAGGTCACAGTGAAATTATAAAGTGAAATCTAACTGCTCTACTCGACGTACCACATGCTGTTTGGCTTGGAAACTCCATCCCACCATAACTTGTGAAGATAACAAAATTTCAGTTTGACAGCATCAGCATGCCCTGTCTGCAGCATGACCAGTCCCAGGCTAATGCATGATGGAAATTCAGCCCACTCGCACTTTAAGTTCCATTCCACACAAACCTCAGCACGAAGCTTGTATTTAGCCGTGTGTGGACACTTCACCTTAGAACTCGAGCATCTCTCCTGTACAACACAAGGCCAAATACAGGAGGAAATGATTATGCCATTGCAGAGTTCAGCTACCACTACGATTACCGCTATGTATTACGAACTGATCAACCCAAGTGGTCAACACCTCTACCCCTATTAAGAAAAAGGCTCACTAAGTCTCTTATTCCTACTTAATGTCTAATAAAGCAAAAAGAGATAGTAAAAAGCAACTATTTATCATCAAATACAGATAATAACAGGAAGCAAACTAACAAAGCAGCCAGACATTGATGCTAATTCCCAAATCATTGCCAAAACACTCGAACATTAATTAACCCACATAACTAAGTACGATTAGCTATTATATCTAAAACATTACGACAAGAAAACGCTCTAGACCAACTTGTAGACACCACCATAAGAAAGCCGAATATCGAACTACACTCATAGCAAACAGTAAAGGAGAGGCAAATCTACTCCCAAAATGCGACTTATTATGGACTACCAAAATAGATACGACAAACTATTGGATTCAAGCAATAGATACTTCAAACTACTTGGATTCAAGCAACTCAACCAGGCCCATTAGTATGGATGAATTCCTGCAAGAGGCCTATTCCGCCGAGGAAGCATCAACTGCATGTTCTCAGAACAAAGATGAAATCCCAGATGGACACGTCATCCAAGTCACTGCGGTTGAGCCTGTCGAATTGGAGCACCACCATAGCCACCCCCATATCCGACTTGTCCACCATGAGGTCCATTTGCCTGAGCTCCATAATTCCCAGAAGCTTGTGAGGGGTCAGATCTCCATCCTGAATTTCCATACCCTGAATTTCCAGAGGCATCACCATAGCTACCTCCCATGTATCCCCCAGCACTAGCTTGTAGCTCTACCCCCGCACCACCTCCAGCAGAAGCACTATTGTTTGGGCCACTCCCTGGTCGCCCTCCAACAGCACCATAAGAAGCTGGATTTCCATAAGATGCATCATTTCTTCCATACCCACCATAACCGTACCCTTGATTTCCATACCCAGCAGCTCCACTTGGGGACTGACCTGTGGGTGCTGACACAGGAGCACCACTACCAGGGCCACCGCCACTGGCATTAGGAGCACCCCAAGGAGCATTCCCATAGCTCGTACTACCATATCCAGAGGGAGCATGATTGCTCCAAGAATTTCGTGCACCTGGTGGACCACTTCCATAAGCAGCATTAGGGACATTGGGGTTTCCATAGGTTGCCCCAGCAGGGCCACCATACCCAGGATTGGCACCAGCATAATTGCCATAGCCACCATAACCAATCCCGTTGCTGGCAGGACCATACCCATAACCAGGAGTGCTGTATCCAGAAGAACCATAAGGCGGAAACCCGCCTGCAGTACTCTGAGACTGCATGTACTTGGAATCCACTCGACCATCATAAGAACTAGAATTGCCCCCAGAAGCACCATAACCCTGATAACTTCCACCGCCAGAACCACCACCCACCCCCGTCGAACGGCCTCCCCCACCAGTGTGGGCATCTTTAGGAAGAGCCCGCTTCACTTCCACTTGCTTACCATTTAAATCATGAAATGTTTTGTGCAAAACCCTATCAACAGCATCTTCAGCATCAAAGGAAATAAATCCAAAACCACGAGGCCGGTTGGTCTGCTGGTCATACATGACTACTACATCAACTACATTACCGTAAGCTTCAAAATACTGACGAAATCCATCCTCAGACAAAGTGGCAGGCAATCCCCCAACAAATATTTTCTTGGTTCTCAAATTTCCACCGCCTCCATAGTTTCTACCAGTACTAAAGTTGGTAGATTTGGAGGTCTGCTGTTCCTCCCTTGATAAGGCCCTCTTAGCCTCAACCTGGAAAACAAAAGTTGGCGGTTATACCCCAAAAACAACTACCCAGGAGCAAGCAGCAAAAATCTACTCAAGCACATCTGCCACTTCAAAAAAAATAAATAAATGAAGAACTTGAGATCTTGCAGATAGTTCAGGAATAAATCTTAAATTTAATATCACAAAACATCACATTGACAAAATGGAAAGGGAAGTTTAGAGATGATGATCTCTGTAAATCCATAACCATAGAAAATCACTAGATGGTATCAACCTATGCATCTGGGAGGCTGATATGAGTGCCACCACTGAAAAGCACAAAAGGTGTCTGACACATCAACATAACAAAGAAATGCGTTATTAATATCACATGCAGAGACGACAATATGTTGCACAACCTTGTACATACACATCCTATATCAGCAAACACAAGGAACAAATGTTCAACATACCTTTGAATCTATAGTACATTTACAAGCCTGACTGCATTTTTTGATGCATCTAGAAATTAATACTCCCTCAACACACTACATGAGGAAACCAAACTAGGCCTCGGTTGACCAAGATTTTTGTTCAGTTTCATAGCAGTGCTGTGGTAAATTCGGATACATCCATTTGTCACCATTACTTAGTAGAAAGCTGCCTTAAAACCAATATCTGGACCTAGAGGCAACTATGGTTTATGCTATGCACGCCAGATGAATATTAACTTGTCTATCCCACAACCCAAAAAGGAGAAGAGGGAAAAAGGGTAGGTATGCTATGATTTTATTTATTTTCATTTCGTCTTCTACCATGCATTTGCAGCACACATCCATCCACTATAGTATTCACAAACTTGAATAGAAGAATGTTTGCAAATTATCACATAAATAAACAACAAAAATTTCAAAATCCTAGAATTAACCAAAAATAATGGCCCCAATAACTTCAATGGACTCAGCCAAAAAAATCTGTCACCACAATTGCTGCACATAGTCCAGTATGACCTCCTGACACACCCACCACCTATTATATTAACATAGAAGAATTGTTGAATGTGTTCCACCTCTTGCAAAGTTGAGAAGAAAATTTACACATGGTGAAGAAGCTGAGAAGAAAATTTACACACAGTGAAGAAATGAGTTTGCTTCTCTGCATTACATGAATAATCATGCCATTATCATCAGACAGGAATTTCTCTTCACCTTTCTAAACATTGTGTATTGTTTCTGTTTCCTTTAAACACTGCAATGGTCCCCTCAGTTCTTCTAAAGCTTCCAATGTTCTCCCTTTTCTTTTTGGTCTTTTTGTAGTTTTGTGGAGAACCCCATACCACCTTTTACATGGTCAGGGTTCCAATAGCACCGTCAGACGCTTCAGCATAATTTATTACATACGAGAAGTCAAACAAGCACAATATAAACAAATAATTAAGCCTCCAGCAGAAAAAAGTAAAACAACAAACAAGACAAATCTCAAATTTTTTGAGATCAATTCTTCTACATTTGAGTTAAAACTTCCCACCGATACAAATATCATGATGCATAAACACTACTCCCCCCCCCCCAAAAAAAAAAAACAAAAACCCAAAAAACAAAAAACAAAAAAAAAGAGTCAAGTCAAAATCTCTTGTGACAGAGCCCCGGAACTCTAACAGAGATACTCATCAACTATATCCAAAAGAAAGGTGAAGACAGAACCCCAGGAAACCTACATATTACAGAAACGGAGAGATTCCAAATATGAAGAAACATTACAAACGAACAATTTTATGGAACAACTAATGCTAAACAAAAGCAGAATCAGATAACAAAAATCTAGAGACCCAACCACATATTCATAGTGAATTAGAACTGAATATGGTCAACAATTTTTAGTCAATAATCCAGAATTACAGATCTACTCAAATAGAAGGAATGAGCATCACTGTCAAAAATCAAGAAACAAAATACAAAAAAAAATAAAAAAAGGCAATATTCTTACAGATAAAATATAACCAGACAAAAATTAGATAAAAACATATAAAGAAAATAACAAAAAAAATCAGAAAACATAATTAATGAATATCTTTTATGACACATCCATAAGAACCAAACAACATAGAGCAACAATATAAATGGAAGGACCAGAAGCCTAAAAACACAAGAAAACATTATTACTATTAGAAGTATAAACTCAAACATCGATACCGAGCAGAGTGCTTCCCAATCACCACAAACTCAGAAAATTATGGTATTGCAATCAAATACCACTATTTTTGGTTTTGAATCTTCCAAAACATTCCCTTCCATAATCTTAAAAATAAAAAGACACAATTATCATAGGAACAAGCTAATTGAACTCCATCCAAACAGCAAACACTTTGAAACTAAAAACATTCACATAAGGAAACGTGATGATGTGAATTAAATAAACCATTAAAGAAACAAATACGCAGCAAACAAGGAAATGCCTGTGTGAACATAACCAAAATGCTGTTACACGTCCAGCAAAATATTAAAGCATTTTCTGAACCCAGAAGATCAAACCATTCAATATTCCCCATTAATGACGCCAAAGACACAAAATTTCATACCTCCTGAGGCCTGGAAAATGAGAAAATGTGACCCCGGATGATCATATCATTTAAAAATTGAAACACTAGAATGAATGTATAATTTGAACTCTGAGAACCATAATTAAAGATGGACCAGTTGAGTCACTCGTAAATAGCCACAAGCTTAAAATAGTTGTAACCCACAAGCAGAAAACATGCTAATGCCTCATAATAGTTTTGTGCATGTGAGTACACCATTTATAGTGAACACAAGCAACAAAGCAACTAAAACCCAAAAACAAACAACTTAAATAAATGAATCCATTCATTTTAACTATTTATTATAATGTGTATTAACGATATCAGGTTCTAGCTGTTCAGTTCTATTTAATGGAAATGCATCAATCTGAATACTTTTATGCAGTCTCAAGACAAGCACGTTGAAGGTGAAAAAATGGTGTGAGTAGACCTCAATTGTAGAAACAAACTTTTTCCCCTGCATTTTTATTTGTGGGCTTCTGCTGTATTGCTGGGATTTTTGTTCGTTGTCAATGGGTTGTGTGTCATATAGGATGAGGTCTTCTTATGCTGTGCTTATGGAGTTTAGCCGTGGTGATATCTACTTTGGAAGGCATGAAACAAAAGAGTATCCAAACCACAAAAACCATTAGCAGAACGTTAGGCTATAAGCCCTAAACAAAAATATGCTCACCCATATAGCCAAAAAGACAAAATATATAATGTTAAGATAGTCAATAATTACATATTCAGGGCCACATTACAGGGCATAAGGTAAGAAAATGGAGATGACTGAAAGTAGAAGTATGAATGAAGCATGGGCTGAAATTAGCACCATTTATGGAGTCATCTACAGTGATGGAGGGGGAAGGCAGACCAAGGATTCGGTGAACTGTATGTGGCCATTGTACCCAGCAGTTCTACCAACTTTTGTTGATTAATGTCCAAATCTTCAACCTTATCTCGCCATAGGGTTGTGGAAGATGATACTGAACTCTCAGAACCCCATCAAAAGATCCAAAATTTTAGCCAAAGAAATGTAATATAATACTTCTAGTTTTTGAATGACATAAAAACTCAGTACAGGGATGTGCTTGTGGTGTTGGCTCGTGGCCGAGAAACACAAGCACTCTTATGTACACGAAGTATCCATGTCAGACAGCGATATTTCTCAAACAATCTAGGACACACATCTAATACTCTTTTAGCCATGTTCAAAATAAAATGATAAAACCTTAAAAGTGCATATGTGTTCTACCCTTCTTTAAGCCATTCTATAACCTAAAAACAAACATGTTTCAAAATTTAATTAACAAAGCTTAAAAATTTTCACAAATAACTATCTTATAGACTTATACAATGAATGAATAAATATGTTTAGAATACTCGTGCTCAAACTTTACATAAAATTTACAGACAAGAACTAAAGATGCATAAACATTTTACTAAAGAAAATTTCTTGAGAAGACAAAAGCAATAATAATTATTATGTAGATTTGCTACCCTTTGACTGTAAACAAATCAATGATTATTGACTACTACGATTCATTAGACTAAAAATATAGATAACTAGACATAAAATTCACTTATCATAAATTCCTAATTTTTTAAGTTGCATAATACAATAATAATATTTAACTGTAGTGAATATGGTATAATTTGACATATAATATGCAATTATTGGGGGCATGACCCGGACATGTCTGTGTCCTATTTATTAAAAAATACTGAGTCCATGTGTCCGAGTTGTGCTGTATTCATCTCTCATGTCTTTATCCATGCCGCTTAAGTTGGTAGTCAAACTTGATGATGATCATTCATAATATGTAGGGATATTTGAAGAAGGCATACAAAACTCGGATGTTTGGACAGGATAGTTTAGTCATTAAATAAAAATTGTTAGTATGGAGTGGTGACGGGGATTATATCATATGCTTCCCAAGAACATTTCCAAATGGAAAACAGAAGAGACCCATTAGTAACCCACAAAATTAAATGGGAGCAGCAAAACCCACAAGCAACCATCACAAGTCACATCAATTGAACCAATGCCCAAGAATTAGAATCAGTAAAAAAAAAAGGCCACAATAGAGGTCTTACTCAGAGATATATGTAAACAAATATGAACCAACCCATTACAAACACCAAAAATTACATGAATAAATCAATCACCCAATAGCCAAAATGAAGAATAAAGATATCCACAGCAACAATGAAGGTTTAAGTCCTACCTATATGTACATATGTATGAACTGAACATTAACAACCACAAAAATCATAGCAATTTAACCAGAATCCAGAACAAGAATCCATAAACACCAAATCTAGTGCTAATCCCCAACAAAATCTGATATAGAAAACATAAAAATCATTTAGTACAACTACCAAAATCTAGCCAGTATGTTCACATACTATGAATTGACCCATTGATAACCACCAAAAATCACAACAATATAACACAAACAAGAAATCACAATGAACGTGTTAAATATATGTGTATCTGTATGACCTAACCCATAAACAACAATTGATACAACTAAAACCCATTAGCACAACATAACAAATGATACCAATATGTGCACCTATGGAGCAAAGTCCTAGATAACCAACATAAGTCACATGAAAATAATAAAAAACCAGAGACAATAATCAAGAAAAGATAACTCTACTGCTACAATTGAGGTCTAAATCACATCTACACGTGTATAAACTAAACCATCAACAACCACCAAAAAGCACATCAACGCGATAAGAATCCAGAATCAATCATTTACCAAAACGACATCTTGGTTCTACAGATAAAGTTCAAATCCTAGCTATATAGAAAGAAAAAAATATGAACAGAAACATTAATACCCACAACAGAACAACAAAACACAACTAAAATGCGCAAAACCCACATCTAGAGCTAGAATTGAGGTCTGAATCTCACCGTCCGACCATCTATGTTGTGCTTGTCCTGAAGAACCCGATCAAGTACTGAAGGATCTGCAAAGACCACAAACCCAAAACCTCTGGGTCTACCAGATAGCTTGTCTTTCATCACAACTGCCTGCAAGACCTCACCATAGTTCCCAAAATAGTCCTTCAGCTTATCCTCTGAGGTTTCCCAAGAAATCCCCCCAATGAATAGCTTTCCCTGATCTGAATTCATAGTTTCTCTCTCTGTGAAGTGAGAGCGTATCGATTTTGACAGAGATGAGGGTTTGCGGGGAAGACGCCGACTGGTTCTTTAATTAGAGAGCGAGAGAGGCGTCAACTAAACGAGAATCCGAACAAGTGGAGTGGGTAAAGTGGAAGGTATTTTGAATGGACGGTTGAGATTTGTTGGTTTAGTGGGTCAGATCATTTTGTGTTTGTGATGGGGATTTAAGGGTGGTGATTCGAAGGTTGATATTTTGGGAAGGAATGATAATACTTCATCTTTGTTTTTTTCGTGTTTTTTAAAATTTTCCAAATTTAATATTTATTGACGACTTGAACGCGACACCTTTTAAGAAATGGGTAATAATTTATTGATTTAATTTGTTGACTTAATTTATTATAATTTTTTAATTGACCGTAGAGCCCATTAAACACTGAAATTTGATGTTGATCCAATAATTCTACTGAAGTCACATCATTATATCAACAAATTAGGTCAAATTTATAGGTCCAAATAGTATTACTCATATATAATATATATATCTAACTAATAAAAAAAAAAATTTAAGAGGGGCACTTGCCCATCCTCGCCCATGCCAGCCTCCCGCCCCTGCGTGCCACCACCATCACTCCACCTCCACCGGCCACAGTGCTTCACCAACTTACCTATTTCTCATTTGGTTTGACTTCTTCTCGCTCACCTCTCTCTTTTCTCTCTTTAAAACAAGTAGAACTTCAACTATTGTCTATTATTATCGCATAATTTGCAGACATAATTGTCATCTCAACGGCATCTATCACCAGCAATCGAACTGATTTGAGACTGAGATCATCACTGGTTTGAATGATTACCAATAGGGAATATGCTGAAACAACCAGAATGGATGATAGCACAATTTCAGAATGGATATGAATTTTCTTTTACTTTGTAAGCTCTTCCATATTGCTCTAATTTTACAAACTTTTACCATTTGTGGATTTTTTAAGTTTTACCAACTTCTGTTAGGGTTTTAATCATCTCAAAAGTTCCGAAATTTTTGTTTCATTTCCTCCCTGAACGATGTTTATTTTACCGAGTTAATACAGGTATCCTATCGTTTCTTATAAGAAAAAAAACTTATTTCTTTCATTAAAAAAAAAAAAAAAAAGATTTATATGAGAAAAGTAAGTGATCCTTTGGTAAGAATGAGTTGAAATTTGGATGTAATTTATTAAAATATTATTTTAATGGTGTTACTGAAAGGAATCATATAATAAATACAACAAAATTTTAAAAAAATAATTTAATTTCTCATATCAAAATTTACTCATGTTTAATACAAACTGAGAAACCTTAGATCTATAGAGAAGATTAAGGGTTGTCTCTTGAAACGTACCACAAATGTTTGGCCTCTAGAAGGATCTACTTCAACCATTGATAAACTAGTAGAGAGAGAATGAATTGTGGTTCTTCTTGTACTAGCAAGAGAGTTATTATATTTTATATCTACCTCCTACGTAAAAGTATTTATAAAGCTTTAAAGGCTCTAATCCAATTAACTTTTAATTGGTTGTCTCTTATTTATTCTTTAGTTTCCAATCAATTATATTGTGTGTGACCTTATAGGTTCAAGCATACCCCGGTTATAAGCATTCGATACTAACTATAAGTTGTATCTCAAATTAGATCTCTATCTAATTTAGGTTGAAGTATAACTCTTTTAATTCTCCCTTTACAAAGAACAATTAATATATTTATTTATATTAATTTTATTCTTCGGACTTCTACTAATTATGACACCTAACAACATATCATGATCAATCTCTGAATAGCACGAAGTAGGTAAAAAACTCATTCAGTCTACAGTTACTATGCAATTCAATTCTTCTATTACACAATATCTCAATTGAATCACTAGGATATAAAATTATTATCAAACCTCTAACTCAATCTTATGTGTTTGACCTTAAGACAATGACTCTTAACGATCAATTAAAAATCCTTTTTCTAATTGCCGTTCTACCTTGGCTAAGGACTTCTTGAGTCATATCCTAGAAGATCACATAGGACATTCTTCATTTATTTACAAAGAGTGATAGATTCTATGTTGTACACTCATAAGTCTCTATGTATGTCTAACTGTATCCAACAATACAGATCCAAGTTACATGGTTAGCATATAAATATGTTGTATAGTTAAAGTATAGAAGTCCATACACAAGACAGTCATGGTGTCTCAAGTCTGAGGATTAATTGTATAACTATAACTTTAGAATTTAACATTGACAGGTATGTAAAATTTTATATGAAAAATCTTACGTTAGTCAATAGTCACATTCATTGTACTTGTTATCTAACAAGCACCCATACACCTGCTTCAATGTCTCTATATTAGTGAATTGGACGAATCACTTTTTTATCAAATATGAGTAAATATAGTGTGTGCTAGTCTATTCATATTACATAGTATCCAAATAGTAATCATATGACTAAAAACATTTAATAGTTAAGTACTAAGAAGTATATGTCTCTTCTTCTTAACACCTTAAAAAACTATCTTCTTAACTTATACTCCATAGACTATAAAATATATATTAAAATGAAATAAAAGTAGAAAATATGATAAATAAACTTGTCATTTTATGAAATCGATTTATAAGAGAAGGTGACCAAAAATTTATATCTATTAGAATAAATTAAAATAAAAGTTTTAAAAACTACAAAACTAATTATTTTGTATTAATTTTTCAGTTTTTAACTTTACTATTAAAATTTAATTCTTACATGTTCATGTCATTTAATTATAAAATTGATATAGGCTTAATAGCTTGGAAGTTATATACTAATATATTTTAAAGCCTATTATTCAAGAGTCATTAAGATAGTGCCTATAAAACAAAGTAGATGTTTTGGATAGAAAGAAAATAGTTTTACCATCTTTTTTATATGCTCCTCTTCTATCAAGTGTTGTTATTCTTTCTACATATTTCTTTGTGTCTATTATTACATTTGCATACCTATAAATATTTGGTATTAGTTTACTATGAATAACTTCAATTCGAGTCAGGTTCACTCTTTCTTCCAGTGGGCGTGACCATTGAGGAGGTGCTGCTGCGAACATCTGGGTTTGATCTTAGAGTTGTTGGTGTTCGTCAGTACCCTCACACGGGGAGGCTCAGCTGCTTTAAGACAGTGATCACACGACTCTCGGACTCGCAGGCCAATTTTTTCTAATTTATAGTTTCTATTTTATTCTATTCTAAATTGATTGATATTTTATATTTATTTGCATATTCTTGTTAGTTTGTAATCTAAATATTATTTTGATTAAGTAAATTTATGTTAATTTCTCCAACAATATCCACTCACTCTATCGACACTGACTTAATGATAATAGTCCTTTCTCTTTAGAGATTCTAATCACTTATCAATATTTAATGAAATGAAACTATGCCCATATATAATACCGAGTCATTTTAATTCAACTTATAAATTGTTTCTTTCGTGATTCGACCACAAAAAGTCATAGTTCATATTGCATTCAACTCCATGCTCAATATGATAATTAGCTCTTATATCAATTGTTATCAACAATAAGTAAATACTGACCACTAAAAATTGGCATATAAGAGGATGGGTGCATGAAAGTTCATATACACTCACATGGGATCGTAACACTAACCAAATCTAAACCAACATATCTCAACCTTCAATTTTTTAGACTTGGTTGTGTGTTTATTTTCTCTAAAATTATTTCTTGTTTTATGATACTTACCCAAAAAAAAAAACAATGAACTTTGTATTGTGTTGTCGAGTAGACCATTTCTTATACACTAATGCTATTGAGTCATAATTAAATGAAATAATTTAGAAACATAATGAGTTGTAATCAATAAAATGATAGTGAAATCTATTTAATGATGAGTCTCATTGTAACATTAAATGAATTCATTAAAAATAAAATTTTTTAATGAATTCAATAAAAATTTTGACCCAACATTAAAAATAAAACTCCCCCCCCCCTCAATTTTTTTTTTTTCATATTAAGCATGTATTTTTTGAAATAAAATTTAGACATATTTAATTGTGTCCACCTTAATATTGTGTGATGGCGATATTGATTTGAATAGACTCTTACCTAAATGATTGTAAACTATTTAAACAATGTTATTGAAACTTAATTTAAGGACCTAATACATTGCAATATTAAGTATAATAGTGAGTCTTAATTTTTAATAAACTCTATTATCTATCCAATGGTCACAAATCATTAAGTCTCCATCAATTAAATCTCAAATTAGGTACAACTAATATAATTATTAACTTTTAGACATGTCCGAATATATTTTGAATATATTGATATTATTTTATAATTTTTTTAAATTGTAGGATTATTTCTTTATTATATAAAAATGTATGCCGTTATGTTGTAAACTATAGAATCGTAAATGAAATATTGTTACTGCGATTTTATATATAAAAGAAATATTGTTGATAAAATTAATTTGTAACTCTTTCAAATAATAAAAACCTATCATGATCAATTATAAGTAAAAATAATTAGTTGCATTCTTGATAAAAAGTTTTAATTATTATTTTTTTGTTCATGTTATGTATATCGATTTTTTATTTTTTATTTTTAAAAAGTACTAAATATACTTTTAATAAATATAAATTTATGAACTTTTAGGGTCTATTAAAAAAAAATTAAAACATACTAGTGTGCCCACCCTAAAAAGATAGGTGTCAGTGTAAATACATAAACAAGAAGGGTATTATCTGCAATTTTCAGAAACACTAAGAGGGTCCTACTGTAATTTATCCAGTAGTGCAGTCCTTTCATGGTTTAGTGTGCTGTTGTGAATGGCATGGCCTTGTTATAACAACTTATTTAGGTATGCAAGGCAAATTAATGCTTGTACAATGTACAATGGATTTTATTAACAAGAGGTAAGCTCTAAGAAGAAAAAAGGAGACAAGACAGAAGCAACTGCTGCTCCATTGTACATAATGATCAATGCCCTTACTCAACAATACAAATGTAGAGCACAGATGTACACCACATAGTACACCAACTAAAGTACAAATCGTGTAAGCCAGGTTGTTGTCATCTCAACCCTCTTTCACCCAATGAAGACACCCGACCAATGCAGTTTTGCTCCCAACATCAGACAACTCAAACGAATCCAAGACATAGTACTAACCTTTGTTTTGATAAAAATCAACAAAATGATCCCACTACATGAGTGGATTGCTGTTTCAATTAGCTGAAACTTTGATCCGCAAAGAACCAAGTTGGCTTTGGCCTGATTCTTTGAGATCAAATTCAGAGAAGAACTGTTTAATAATTCAGCGGGCAGTTGCTGCTAGGTTGATGTATTCGATGAGATCTACATTAAAATACACATGCAAGAATCTGAATCCTCGTCATCAGAGTCGCTCACATCACTGCAGGCACAATGAGGAAACTATAGGTGAGATCAGGATTAATGTGACAAAACAGCAGTGATATTATCAATAATTCAGACATTATGCAAGGGTAGTTTGGCACCGGACATGGAATGCTGGCAAAGATATGACAAAATACTAATGTAGAAATGAGAGCTTCTAACAGCCAGTGAAGTTATGTTCAAAGCAGATAGCTGAGATGTGCTTTTAGCAAAAAAGACCTAGAGATCCAACACATGCTGTAGTATTAGTCCTTTCTATCCTCTGATTGCAATAAGATCCAACAATAGCCATAATCTAACTCTGGCATGAGGAGGTGGCCATAGGAACAAAACCTTTTTCATGTGGCACAAACTTTCACAATACTTTGACTTGATAATGAAGAATCGTCCAAACTACATGCCATTTGAAATTGTGACTACAATGCAAACTCTGGATGCACACGATCATCCTCAAACCATGTGGTATAGGTAAACCAGGACAATTATTGAACTTGAGACTTCGAGGCACTAATCCACGCGGTATAAGTAAATAAGTTAAACAACGTCCGTTGCAGTGAAATATAAAATTAGTGAAGTTATCATAATATCAAGTGAGTCATCATAAGAATTCATAATTGGCGTGACACCATTTTCCAGTTAGTTGGGGTTAGCTAAAAAATGGCCAACTTCACAATAAGGAAACCAACACCTGCTCTGTTTGACAGGAAAAGAAAACCAATACTACCCTACCAGAAGAAGCAAATAGCAGTACAGTAAGAGGAGATATGAGGACAAGAAGTCCTACTTTGTAAAACAAGAAACAGCCTGTCACCCTGTCTACAGGTAAGTAAAACAAAAAATGACCAAAAGTGATGCAATAGAAAAAAAAATAAAACTTGAAGACAATAACTCTTTGGATGAAAAATAAATAAATAAATTGTCCCTTATCAATCTTCTATAAAATGTGCTGCCTATGGGTGTTGCAATATAGCTCTGGTGCTCAAGACATTAAGTACTGTTCATACTTCTGGGACTTATGCCTGTACGAGGAGAACTAGATATGAATACAGAACAGATAATATACTGTGTACATACTCTCATTGGCAATAGGAAACAAAACTAGTTTGGCTAAAAGCCAAAGTGGCATTGAGCCGTGTCTCTGAAAGTTACACAAAATAGGTTTCGAAGACAAGGTCTTTATTAATTTGCCACTAGATGGTGTGAACGGGTTCATTTTTTTTCAATCCAAGTGATTTCAGCAGTTCTGGCTAGGTGACGATGCACATGTCTATATGTCTATTTGATGATGAAAATAAGAACAGAACAGTAGGAATGTCAGACCACTAAACCACCATTAGTTAACTTATTTAATGGCCTGCAGAGAAGCTGTCAATAACAAGGTTTCATATACCTTCTAAAGCCACAAGTTTAATATTGATTTGTAAGGTTTTGGACGAACGATACAATGCAGAAAGTACCATAGCAGTGTTTCAGACAGGAGACTGATATTTTATGTCAATGGTGCTGACCTGACGGAACTGCTACTATAATTAGTTGACAGGGTCAACTTGGCTGAGGTCACAAAGAAGTTCACTTCTATCCCATCCTCGGTCACATTTTCATTAAGCAAGAGGACTCTAACAAGGTCATTCTTGTGACAGTTAATTGTCCATTTAAATAAGGACCAGAAACTAATTGTTCTCTTGGCCCTTACAAATAATCCCACAATGTTACTCCATTGTTTGATGACAATCAAGTTTTATCGCTTTACTATTCTCCAGAAGTCTTTAATAAAATTACTCGATATATCCATTTGTTCTATTCACCCCAGAAATTCAAACAACACAGTCTAGTTCTTTCTAAAATAAACTTGTCAGATAAACAAGCAGAATCCACACATTTCATAAGGTAATCAGCTAAGTTTCTGAACCAAAGACACATGACTGATTCAACCTAGCCAGTTCATATGAATTCAAAAGTTAGATGAAACCTTATAATTTTTTATACTTGATCATAAATAAGCATGTATAATTGATTAAGCAGCATCAATATGAAATCCAACTAGGTGTTCTCATCTACACAAATTGCTTAGACATCATTATGTGCAGAAAAATAGGCCACTAATAAGTAGAGTTTCGAATCCAAAGAATCATTAATAAGACAACTCAGCCAATACATAAATTCAAAACAGAACCAAAATTTTTTTTTTTGATCCAAAGAACCAAACATCAAAGTTCTAAATAAACTTTATCAAATTGCTCATGTAATCAAATGCACTGTACCAACATATTTACCTTGGTTGGAATTCCAACACCTGGACAAGCTTATCTCCATTTCTATCGTTCCACTGCACTTTCCTCCGTGGCTTCCCTGACTCCTTTGACAAACCACCTCTCCTTGATGGCAGCAAGGATTTTGACTCATCATCATTTTCTTTCTCCCCATTAAGGACAACCTCTGGCTTGTTCACATTAGTCACAGGCATATTTTTACCACCATTTTGATCTCCATTATAATCTTTACCATTTTCACCCATTGACAACTACAGTAACACAAACTTTACAGCTTCTCCACCAATCTACTCCAAAAGATCCGAAAATGGATGTTTTTTTTTATGAAGTCCACAAACCCATCTCAACCCAGCTTTTGAACTTCACAAAACAGAATCCCTAGACCCTTAGAATTCGATTTCTGCAAGTGACCTTTGACAATTGAATACCAGATATTCAAAATCCAATAAAGTCAACGCACATTTTGACACAAACAAAAACATCGAATTTACAAGTTTTTGGTCCAGAAAAACCCAAAAAAAGTGTTAACATATCAACTTTGTACATAGAAAAAACACTAACACACATCGAGCATATTAGAAAATTATGGTTTCTGTAAAGAAAAGAACAAGAAATCTTAATGAATCCAAAAATTCAGGTATTGAACAAAGGTATAATTTGCATTGTTCCGCATGTAAAGCTGTCTGTTTGTGTGTGTGTGTGTGAGAGAGAGAGAGAGAAAGAGAGATTAAAACCCTGCGATTGAAGGATTCGAAATGGAGAGACAGAGAGAGAGTTTACTTTTTGATTTTGGTGCAGGATGTGTATTCGTATTTCGTATGGTAGTCTGATGATAGTTAGAAAAAGGCCGCCACAGTGGAGCCCAGTGGTTAGGTTTGAGTGGAATCTAACGGCTTTGATTGGATGGTAGTTAAAATTTAAGACAAATTACACTTGTTACCCTTCAACTTCCTCCAAAATATATGAGTTGAGATAGTGAGTAGTGAACAAGGTGGGCCTACTTGAGAATCATCCTTATCTTCTTTCTCAAAGCCTTTTGTCTTTCTATCTATCTCCTTCCTCTGTGCATTGGAATGTTACTACCACCGCTAACTCATCTCTCAAAATCAAATCACCACCTCCACCTACCCAAACTATCACCATTGCCTTTGTCGCACCTTTGTTTAATCATTAACTAATATTACGATAATCGGGGCTATTATCATGACGTAAAAATTGATTTTTCACCGTTATATCATCATTTCAATTAAAACCTCACTCATAACCTTTGTGGACACCACCACTAAACCCAAAACGCAAAACTCATATGAAATCTGAGTCAAAATCAAATATTCAGTAGCTTACAAAAACCAAAGGGACTTCAACATCTCGTATGTCTTCTTTTTGTTTAAACCTTAAATTTCATTGACAGAATGACCAAATTGAAATAAGATCAAAGTTAAAGGGATAACTTTGCTGGTATGGGAAGATTGGGGGCCAACAACAAATTTAGACAAAAAAAAAAAGTTGGTGAAAAGTATAATTGGCCTAAAAATTTGGGTGAAGAAGTTGCATTAAATATTCAATGGTTTTGGGGTTGTTTATGTGGCACAAATTATATTGTTTATACTTTATACAATATTTTTTTGGGTAACGTCAAAATTATATTATATATAATGCCTTTTAGCAAGCGAAAGGTATTGCATTCTCTCATCTGGCATTTCATAGGTCAACCAAAACTAGTTCAAAATGACAAACAGTTAGGGTGAAATAGAAGGAACAAACTAGTTGATTTTGTTAGCAAAATTATTCAAAAGACCAAATTCATTGGCAAATCCAATAATTAGAGTAGAATATGAGAGTCAAAAGTGGGATCTGGCCTCTGTCTTCCCAACATGGTCGGGTCCTATTCCAAGCTTTAAGTTGAGAGGGCATCAACGGCTACAGGGAGGGTTAATGGTTATATCATGTCAGCAATATTAATATTGTACAATTATCTAATAAAAAAATTACAAAATAAATAAAATAGGACTCATTTTTTATTATGGGCATGGTTATGTATTACATAGTTAGGTAGTTATGAATTTTTGTAGAGTTTACGTGACTTGCTCACATAGTATAACGATTATACCTAATATTTTTAAGAGAGAAAGAGAGAGGGGCAAACCTTAGTTTGAGAGTGCATGAATAGCCCCATCTATGTGGCATTTTTGTCTGTCCGCATTTTTGAAAAATCAATGTGTTGTCGGCCACATAGAATATAGGTCCTTTGCCACACGAGGCTGCTTCTTTCCTAACAAAACTTACCTTTTTGTGAAGCTTAATCCATATGTTTTTTCTTAGCTAGAATCGTATATTTTATCAGCTAATCAAGCTAGTGAGCATCTCAATCTCAAGTTATGGTAATAGCAAAGCTAGGATAGAGATATGTTTTTAGAGAATCATTGCAACCACGCATCTTGTGACCTCGTGATTGACATTGATGATGTATGAATTCAAAACGTGAGATATATACTTAACCTGAAGAGTTCAAGGCTTGTGAACAATTGTGTGTGACTGAACAATGGAGAAGAGGATGGCCAAAAGTTGAGTCTGGTGGCTCTGCATGATTCTTCAGTAAACCAAGAATAATGGTATTAGCTGAGAACATGATGGAATTCACAAATTATAGTGGTTCATTAACTGAAAAACTTGACTAATTTTTTCTAATGAAGTCTATTGCTTCTTTGAAAACTGTCTATTGCTTGACGAAGAAGATAGGGTTATAATTTTTTCAATGCTTTTACATGGAGAATGTCTTTGTATTTATGCCCACATGTGGAGTGGTCTTTCTGTCATCATCTCGTGATCCCCAAGTTTGTTAGGATTTTGTTGAGGGAATACTGGGCCGTTAGAGACTACATTCCCTAGGTTTGGCGTGGCTTTCTAAAATATGCTGAGATGATATTGTAGCCCGCGTCCAAGCTTGGATATGTTGTGATCTTCCATACCTATGAAAGAGCTTGTTGTGAGGACGTTCTGCTTTGGGATGACCTCCTATTCTTGTGGTCAACTCGTGAGTAAGGGAGCTCTATCCAAACACTTGCCCTGAGCTAGAGATGTTGGTTCTCCTCTTTATGTAGCCTGGATACCTATTCCTGAGGTCTTACTTGGATGACTCGGACTCTTCTGACTGACGATGTATGTGAACTACCTAGAAATTTTTACCTAAGGCTAGATGTATAGCTATAAGGTTGAGATATAGACCTCGTCCATTGGCCCTTTCCACAACCCAATTGCTAAAATATCTTTTTTATTTATTCCTAATGTCATTTTGAAGTATTATCAAACTTAAAATTAAGGATATAAATAATCACGCACAAATCATATATCTAGTCAATCGATACATCTTTTGCGACACTAAACTCAAGTTTTGTCATCATACTTGATTAACCATGGAAACTTTGCCATTCAAGTTACCATGGCAGCATTGGATGGTGTATTTACCATTGTATGAAAATTTAATTTACAAACAATGTATATTTTGCATGCCTAGTAGTGTAGAAGAATGATGAAAGTAAGAGTAAAATTGTGTGAGACTAAAGAAACATTAATAATTTAGGAATTGATATTGACTCGAAAAAGATACGACTCACTAACTAAACAATAATGAGGTCAAGTTAATGTCAAACACAAATAATCTTATTTTAACATGGCAAACTAACAACAAAAAATTAGTTTTTCCCCCTTCATATTGCTTTATACGGTATTGTATAAATCCTTCTAGAATTACAACATCTTTTGCTCGATTTTGGTAGATAAGGTCGAGAGCATTGTAAGTTTATGGAAATCTATGGGTGGTGGGTTTTATTGAGAGAGAGGAGGATTCTAGTCGTAGATCATTGGTTTATGAATTATGCGAGTTAAACCGAACCGTATATGATACAAAATAAGTCATATTAGTATCAAGATATCTAACATGATTAATTAAATAGATCAAATTAAGATTGATGAATACTCAACACAAACAAGAAATGAAAGGCCTTGTAGTTCTTTTTTTGTTTAGACATATGTAGTAACAATACAGGGAGGAGAAAATCAAACCGGAGACCTCCACGTCCCGAGTAGGCTTACTCACCCGCTGAGATAGGACTGAGTAGTTCAAAAATCTAAGTTTTAGAACTATTTCATATTCTAATATCAAATCTGGGAGGAAATTAGTCGAGAGTGTGCATAAGTTGATCAAGATACTCCTGACCGTTAAAAAAAAAAATTATGTATTGATGTCTAATTAAAACATAAACAATCATCAACACGAGGCAATAACAAAAATATCTTGATTCTGGACAAAAGAAAACATCACAATGATGAAATCAACCATTAAACCTCTCAAAAAAGGATAATAAAGCAACTATACATAGTGGCATATCCTTCACTTCTAAAGGTGACAGTGAAAGTGATTGTCTCTGGGGCGAGAGCACCCATCTGTTTGGCAGACAAGAAACAAAAGTGATTTTCTCGAGAGCACTCAGCTGTTTGGCGGACAAGAAAGTGAGTTTTCCAGCTACATTTCCACTCTTGAGTCCTGCAGTGATTGGTGGTCCATAGTTGGAGTTTCCTACAATCAATTACTCCTAATACCGGTCTATAGGAATAAAAACATGCAGAAAACAAATCCCCGCTATTTAAATAATTCATTCGTACTTTTAGTATACCAATACATTCCATGTCAAATTCGAATTATTCGTGTTAGATACTAACGTGATCCATTAATTATTTGTATAAGTAGGTCGTGTTATTTCTAAGTTTGTATTAGTTTTGACTCATATTATTCGATCTTGTGTCTAAAGTTGTCATCCTTACCCTCTAATGCCTCGAGCAGTCCACTGTAACCTGGGCTTCTTCGTTTTTTTTTTGTTCAACGGTGAGGGGTGTTTGAACTAAATTACTCGATTAATCTCCTCTTCGATTCAATCAAATGCAGGTTATGAGTGATTTATTTTTCATGAATATCCTAATTCCAGTGTGGATGATACCTAAATCTGTTACATAAACAAATATATGTATTTCTATTTAGGATATTTGTAAGTTTAATATCTTTCTAGAATCTCAATTGTAACATACAAAAAAAAATAGTAACACATAAACTGCAATAAATAAAAGTAATCTAATTGCACACCAGGAATAAAGATTGAATTTTATTAATCAAAGTTAGTGTTTGATGTTATGTCCATAAGACACATTTTATCCAAACACTGGTGGTAGTAGAAATCTTGACATCTGCCCC